TCTTGCTGCAGCATTTTGGATCAGCTGAAGGCTTTTCAGGGAGTTTTTAGGACTTCCTGATAATAATGAATTACAGTCGTCCAGCCTGGAAGTAATAAATGCATAAAGAGTGAGTTTTTCAGCGTCACTCTGAGACAGGATATTTCTAACTTTAGAGATGTTTGGTTATTATAACCAAAACTTCCTCAATGGTTTTAAAGGTTACTGTTGTGTGTGTGGCAAGGTGAGAAGGTGTTAAATGTATTCATCTTTTTATTAGACATATTTCACATTCATTGCACACCAACATCAATCATGAAAACAGACAGTCATGCACACACACATGCTTCCAACTAAGGGCTGTGACAGCAAATATTTGCCCACATGTGGGGGCAGCTTGTCGGTTGCGCCCAGAATAAACACACCAGTGTGGATGTGGAATAATAATGTGGCGCATTTTAGCAGCTGCTTGGTCACAGCTTGTTTACAGTGTTGGAGGGTTCTCTTAAGCACTAATTTGTCACTGTCAGCTTTCTCGCACTTTCTGTTCATTTTCTTTTTTCTTAAAGTACGAAGGCCTAACTGGGAGCTCAGAGATGTGTGTTTTAATTCTATTTTGAGCATATTTGTGAGTAGACATGAACTCTACCCTAAGACCAGGGTGCATGCATTTTGTGGTTAATGAGTGTCTAGTAGTAGTGAGTTTACTGTGAGGGCTTGTGTGTGTTTTCCATATTTTTTTAAACCTAATATGTGTGTGCCACATATACCAAGGCTCAGGGATTGGCGCGGAGGTTAATACATATCCATCCTGGCTGGTTACACAGTTCAACTCTGTAATCAGCACCTGAGCAGTACACAACGCTGACAGCAGATTTACTACCCATGTGTGTGTTTCTGTCAGTAATCAGACTCGTGGCATTTTATTTCTTAAAAGGAGAATGTGGGTTATGTGCGCAGTGGTGCGCATGCATGTGCTCGCATCTCCTGTCTGCATATGTTTGTGTTTTGTTGTTGAAAGATTTACACAGCAGTGTCTCACCTACCTCAGTCGTGTCTTGTCTTGTCCTAGTCTGCTTTCTTGCTAAGACTCGGCACACAGCATTCATCCTTACCTGATGTACTGTACACAGTGCAGCTCTGCAGTCTTCTGAGATGAAGCATGCAGAACTTGTTTTAACTAATAAAACTAAACAAATAAAGCCAGATAAAGCAAGACAGGACAATGAAGCGAACTTATTTGTACATGTTAAATATTGTGCTGTACTCAATAGTCGGTACACACACGCAGACGCAAACACGCAAAATAAAAACTGCAAGGAAGTGTAATTTATGCACATATGTTCACGTCATGTGGAAAACAACGTCCCCTTCTATGTGGTGCTTGCACGATCTCGCCAAGTTTATGCTGGTTTCCTCTGGGAGCCGCTCCTTCGCCCGTCATCACAGTGCAGCTGATAGTTGAAGCAATCTTTCAAAAGTGGACACAAGGGCCAGACTTTGCATGTTTGTCCCTCTGGAGCCATTCATTTAAAAAATCCCATTAGCCACAAGAATCTTTGAAATTTTCCCAGTTTAGCCATCGTTTCCATCTTAGGAAGCACCTGTTTTACCACAGAACCAGAGGTTTTACTTTTTGATTTATATTCTTTTGATTATAATTTATAACTTTTAACTTAAAACGTCTTCAGAGCCTCTTTGTTTCAAGTAAAGCACGGTTTTGCACCATGTTGTGCCAGTGGTCAGATATCAGTTGCAGCTGCACAGTGCTGGGCAGGCCGAGGATTTCCCCTCTGATAACGCTAGGATGTGTAAATACAGGTTCAGACATTTAACATTCACTCTGTATGATTTATTCCCCTGAAATATAATGAATTTCATGAAAACTCCTTCACCCTTGGCTCAGCTCTTCCATGCCCACACCAATTTTTGTATTATTGCTGTTATTATTGTTATTTTTTGTGTTGTGTAAGTATTTACCATCACACCAAATGTTAGAATCACCAGTTAACCTGACAAGCAATCTTTGGACATGTTTGTCAGGTTAAACCCAACAACCTTGATGCGAGGCCACCAATGTGCCTCTGTGCTGCCCAACAACTTGATATATAGGCTAACTTGTGCTCTGTGCTTAACCTACTCTAGTTTTTAATACTTTTTCACCCCTTTACGTTGTACTCAAAGTGCACTGCAAGCTGCACTTACAGACATATTTTTAAAGCTCGTGCACACATGGAAACCTGTAAGGGTGCATAGGGAGGTCCTTCGGTTTTAGTCTCTTGCCCAAGGACACTTCAACATAAGGATGCAGAAATCTTGGTCCCCGATTGCACACTGGCTTCCCATTGTTCCTCATACAAAGGATAGCTTAAATGCAAAAAATGTGTTTCCTGATGGGGCTTAATAAAGACAATCTTCCACTTTTCTGGCATAGTTGGTTAATGTTTTGATTCTCTTTGATACAGTAACTAAGTCCAAAGGCAATATACTTGAAGAAAACCTCAAGGAAAATTGGTTTTGTCATACATTTTAAGAACATACATTTCAACTGGTGCACTATTTTTCTGAGGTGAAAGCCAGTCCACTCTTGACTTAAAAAGATGTTGGCTGTGTTTGTGGCATCTGTTTGTTGAGTTTTCTGACCACTCATTCATGCAACATGTCTTCATCTGCATCTTGAAGACTTTCTTGCATTTGTACATGCAATCACTTGCTAGACTCATTCTGTAGGAGTCCATAAGCATTTTTTCTACTTACCTCGAATTCTACTTGCATGGTGTTGAAGGTTTGATTAATTATTTCCCCTTTTCTTTTTTGTTGAAGAAAATGGTCATTTTGATGAATATTTTTATGGATAATTGTCGTCTTTAAAAGGCTCAAATATGTCAAAAAAGCAAGCAGTTTTGTACTTTCAAATGACCGTATATCTCATAGCATTTAATTTAGTCGTTTAATGTATTTCAGATTTTGATCATTGATATATGATATAACAAACACTCCTTGTTTATCTGTTGTCATCCATTTTTCTCTGTCTGAAGACAAATCAAGTCTCCTAACATCCAGAAGCAGACGGTGCCAGGTGAGATGAGGAAAGACGCCCTGATTGATGGACATCCCCACTCGTTATCACAGGTTTGATTATGTTCGTACGTTTATGTCAGTGTTATGTTTGGATTCTTTTTCATGTTTCCAACCAGCAGAGTTCAGTTTGGTTCATTCTCAGTTCATCTACCTGTTTTTGTTTCCCCTCTCACCACCAATTGCAAATGATGTCGATGAATTTCTTCTTCTTCTTAGCTGTGCTGTAGTCCCTCCATTCATAGATCTCAGAGTCTTAGCCAGAAACAAAACTCAGTTCCATACCTAAAAACTGCATCATGGTGACTCACATGGGAATAGCAGCACACTGTGTCTAGTCAGACCTCATGATGTACCCTCTCTGATGTAATTTGTGTAGTTGCTTACCTGCTTAGACGTCAACAAGAGTGTTGACTCACTGTGTGAGTGCACACGTATACTTCTACTCGTCTGCAGGCTGAGGTGTTAATATACAGAGTGTAGCCATGCCAGGTTATCCCCAGGGGACGGATGAAGTAAAGTACATTTACCTTCCTGCCAAACAGACCAAGAGTCTCTCTCAGTCTGTTTTTCTGCTGAACTATTCTGCTATTTGTGTGTTCTGGCAGCCAGCATTCAACTTCCTATTTCTGTATCTAAACAGTATCTGTGAAACACACATTAGTATTGCTGGAAAGAGACATGACGTGCATGTCAGGTACAGGGACGTGGGACACGCTGAAGCGGACCTTACCTAGTGCGTCCTTAGTGCGAGTCTTTTTGAAGTTACACTAACAGCTGAACGAAGCGCCCTTGATTCAGGTGTAGCATATAAATACAGCTGCAAGCTTTGGGACAAACTTCCTTCTTTCATGTGCGAAAAATAAAACTTACTCCAAACTCCTTTGGTGGCCTTTCTCTGTTTTTTGTAAACATCTTCATATTTTGAACTCTGTCGAGCTGCTTGGCTGTAGCAACAGTCCCCATGAATATACAGCACTTTACATTCAAATGACATCAATCGTTTTCTAGATTACAGCAAAGTATATTTGCGCTCCTCTTGAATGTCAGACAGGCCTCCAAGTGCTGCTGTTCGTCTTTTAACTCGTTCCAGTGGAGGTGACCACATCACTCTAACTCTTGTTGACCTTCAGTGTTTACCAGATTTTACTGCTTGTTTTCGAAGCTTACACGGTCATTCGCCTTTATGTTTGTGATCTCTTTTACTCTCCTCGGCTCTTTGAGGTTCTTTAAAAAGCCCTTTCTGAAAATCTCTGATTCGTATTTTTTTTTAATATTATTATTATTATAGCATATTATTAGCAGTGTTATCATTAGTATCATTTATCCTGAATACAATATAACCATCACATTTTTGTTGACTACATCATTTAATGTTTGGGATGGCACTAAATGTGGCAGACGCTCAGATATGTCAATTGGGGGAGATTGGAGAAGAAGCATCTTGGATAAGAAGCTTTGAGAAAGGCCTCGGGTCTGCAAAATTTTGTTATTTCCATTTATTTTTGTAGTTATTGAATATATTAAAAAATACTGAGCAAAGGAAATGTTCATCTTCAAGCAGATACATGCAATCAGACTGAAATCCCTGTTTATTGTCATTGATCTGTGATGCTCCACCCTCCTGGTTTCCTGTGCTATTCTTTGCTGTTTCCTCTGGCAAGAGCCTCAGTCGGTCTTCAGAGCAACTGGCTGCACCTGAGAGGTGGGCGTGGCCAAGAGAAGAAAAAAAAGCAGCTCTTTCTGGCTGCTCTCATTCTTAATAAGTAATCTGAGCCAGATGTTCTGCATAACAATATACAGAACAGTTTTCACAGGACTACATGATTCCACCACAGCATTGCACTTGGGCTGAGCTTTGGTTCATCGTCCTGTTGCATTCATGTCACATTTGACTCTAGAATGCTTTCGTGTACAGACGAGTTCACGATTAACTCCATAACTGCAAAGTGCTCAGGTCCTGTAGCTGTAAAGCCCAAATCATCATCCCTCCTGAGGTTGTTGCAGAGGTTGTGTAGTTTGTTTGGTTGGTAATGTGCATACCTACAGGAAGTAGTATGTTCTTTTAGAGAGAAGAGGCCTTCTCCTGACAGCCCTTCCAAACAAGCCATACTTGTCTGGGATGGAGTTCTTAGGTTTAATGCAATTATTCTGAGACTCTGTTTACAGTCTGACCTTGGGGTGAATTTGCTGGGACGCCCACTACTGGGAAGATTATGGGATTGTGTTAGGATGAACCAGAACGCTCCAGACCATTAAACTTCTGCTTTTACAAAGATATGTTACACCTAGACTATAAAAGCTGCTGCTACTCACCTTCTTAATTCTGTGGGTGTACTTAGTTTTCCACAGCACTACATGGTGTCCTGTGAAAGCTCTTTTTTTCACTGGACTGTAATTCCTTTTGTGCTGACATCTTACATAACATTCTTGCATACTTTCACTTATCCATGCGTGCTTTATAACGTTAACTCCTTTCATGTCTCAACACAGATTTTTAGCCGTGCCAGCGGCATGGCTCTAAAGCTTTCTCGGTTAATCTTGATATTTAGAGAACTATTCAGTGGATTGCCATGAAACTCGATACAGACATCCACTATACTTAGTGCTTAAACCCTAACTTTGATGATCTACCAGCTTCTTCCACAACAAACTTTTGCATCTTTTTAACATTTGCGGTTCAAAGTTAAATGTTCACTGGATGAAATCTCATGAATTTGGCACACATTTGTCTCCTCAAGATGATTTTAATCATGTTGGTAACTCCTTCAGCAAAACCTCAATTCTAATACACTTCATTGAAAACATTCCCATCAACCTATTTCTGGGCATTAATAACTGTTACTATGTCATTAACCTAGAAGGACAATCATGGCAAACAATAGTGCGGTTACAAACGAGCATGCTAGCTTTGACAGTCTTGATTATGCCAAAGCTAACATGTAGTCCAAAACCATGTTGTGCTTAAGCTTTGAGGATATAGTCTCACTGAACCACAAAGGCGGCTGTAGAGTCTTAGACTTGTTTTAAAATGAACATAAAATTCACACAAACTCCATTAGAACAGTTTATAATATAGATATTTCTGTCTCCAGACCGTCTGACGTCAAAGACTCCTTTGATCCTTATGAGTTATTGCAAAATCCACTTTAACAGTGATTTCACATGTGCACCACATTTTAGTCAATTCGATTGCGCAGTTAAGTTGAAGAAAAACGTTTCCCCATTTTTGGGGCAGATTTCAGAAGAAATTTATCACTTGGACATCAACCCAACATGAATAAAACTTAAGTTTCTTAGACGTCAGCTAATAGACAGCAATTTAATGTAATACATTTTGAGGTAAATATAGGAGGAATTTGTTAAAAATGCAACAAAGGCATACCAATAAAACATTGAAATGTTGAAGTCAGGTTACATTAGATCAAATATTCACTGGCTATGGAGACACAACATACAATCTGTATATCCGGTTGTTCAGTGATGACGTGACGAATCCTACTTCCGGGCCTAAAGTAGTCTGCGTTTAATATGGCTTTTGTGTTGTTAACATGTTTAATGTTTTGTATTTTCTTCTATTTGATCTCAAAAAGCTCCTAAAACAGTCAGTGATCACTGTTGACCTCCCTCGGCTTTTATTACCGCTAATCATTAATTTAAGCTCAGTTTTTAAAACCTTAGGATGTAACTACAGCCCAGCCCATGCAGCAGTATATGAATGACTAACCTTGTATTGTGGATGGATTATCTTAGTTGTTCTCCTGGCTGAAGTTTGGTCCTTTTACAGCATCCTGCCATGCGATTACATTTGTTCCTGACCACCGAGAACACTCACGTTAACTTTTATCGAGTGGAAAAAAAGTTAGCTTGTTTATATTATGCTAACATAGCTGTGTTGCTAGCGGTCACGTAGCACATCATTATATACCAGCTAGCCCAACTTCAGTAACCCTACAAACGTCACTGCTGTTTAGTTTTCTGTCTTCATTTATGCTGGAAGTGATAGCAGAGCTGTACGTTTTAATTTGTTTCCAAAACCCCGCAGTCAGGACATGCTATATTGTATTTAGATAGAAGCTAGCGCGCTAACTCCCTGCTAACTTCTAACTCCGTTAACTCATTCACTGCCAGCCATTGGCAGTGAATGAGTTAAATGTCATAAATTCCGTTTTCATGGATGCCTGGATGTTAAACTCAATTGTTACACCTGGTAGAGCAGAACGCTGATCATTTTATTAAAGATGAAAGACTTTAGACAGTTTTTCAACTCTCAGTAATACCATAGTGATCGTTTGATATATGGACCTGAAGCGGAGTTTAGGCCCAGACACGGCTAGTGACGTCAGACATTACGACCAGATTGTGTCTGCTCAGCGGTGAGGCTGGTTGTGGCCTCTTCCTTTCTCTTTCCACTGCTCTCTGTCTCTCTCTTATCTCTGGCTCCATCAGGAACACAGCACGCTCCAAGGGTAAACACACACAAACAAACTCTCCCAATCTTGCCAGAAGAGTTTATGTGGGATGGAGCGATAACATCTCTTTGCTCCATTGTCTCCATCGCGCCACGCTGCACTTAACAAACACAGAGAAAACACATCGGAAGTATTCTCCTCAAACCTTCACACCGGCCTTTTATTTCTCTTTTATCTGTAACTGAGAGGCATCAGCAACCCTCGGTGCTCACCTGTTTTTGAAAGTGAATTATAGCAAGGAAGGGTTCTTCTTTTTGTGTTTTTTGTTTTGTGATTTAGGGGGAAATGTGAAGAAAAAAAAGATTGTTCCCAGAGTCTGTAAACTGGACCTAAATTACTTATGAGATGTCTGGCCCTGCACACATATTTAGCATATTTTAAATTATGAAACACAACAGTTCATAAAGACTGAGACAGATGTCTGATCATAGGTGCACAGCTGCTGGAAATGTGCATTCTCTCACTCTCCGCTCGTTTATGTAAGTGATCGTAATCCCTTCATCAAGCCAGAACAGACCAGAGCCATAATGATCCTTCCTGGGGGAATTAGGTGATGATTGTTACTGCAGAGGCAATTATCTT